CAAGATGGAGCAGCTAAAATGGAGTTTTGCTCTATGTCAGCAGTTTCCAAACTTTTTTTTTGGCCATGCACCCAAGTCCAAGCATAATTAAGAACTGTTTAGGTCCACACCGTCTGTGCCCAACGTGAATGAGTGCTTCACCTACCAATGTAAAACAATTGTACAGAATAACAATTTGAGCTATTTGTAGGTCTTAGGACTATCTAAGACTATCTGACTGTCAGAGAAAGACTCCCAAGGACAAAACTACTGCCTGGTCTCCACAACAGCTAACAATGCAGTAAATAGTATCATTTGCAGTATTTCTTTTCTTTTTAAACTGCCCTTCATCTGAATTTATGAGTTTGGCTGATCATTTAACGGAACTACTTTCCTTAAACTTCCTCTGGACGTCCAGAGGAAGTTTCCTTCCTCCTCTGCAGTGAGACGGATGGTAAGATGATCAGAGCATGGTGTAGGTCTGACATAAAAACAGGTGATTTCAGCGCTCAGAAGGAAAGACATCAAATGATGTACTGTATGGGCTTGGGATGGCAAATACATCCAGAATGGAAAAGAAGAACAGTATTTTTAACAGTATTTTCTCACCCAGTACATCTGTTTTTCTTCTGTTGCTGCCAGGTGGTGCTGTTGTTGCTGTTCATGTATAAATGTAGCTTCTTGTTTCATATTTGTGATGGTATTATATGTTTTGGTAATGTTTGGGTGCAGATTTGACACAGTTGATTGTTTGACTTTAGAAAATGTATTACAACTGAGAAACAGTTGTTTTTGAAAACAGCAAAGTTTGGGATCAGCAGTTGAGTGACGCAGATTTAGGGGCCATAAAAATGTTTAGTAAATTCAGCTGCCATTGGCATAATAAATTTGAGAGGAAAGTGTGTCAGAGTAGTACATAACATGTGTTTAAAACCATATTCCAGACATGGACTTGAATACAGACTGTACTGTATATAAAAGTTGGAGATCATCGTCGACTTTTAGTGTATATACCACCTGGACTTTAGAGCTCTAAAAAGCAGATGTGAAGTACTTGTAAGAATTCAGCAATCTCATGGAAAACAGTTCAAGGTAAACATGGGAGGACTAACAGCTCCAGGACGTTGGTGCTTGGCCTTGACATACAGAAGGAAGCATCCGGTCTGTTCAGTTCTGAGTTTCTGCCATGCCCTGTGTTTAATTTGTACAAAAATGTAAAGAATGTTAGAAAAAATGCATTTGATGTGCCATGCCAGGGAAATTTCAGTTTTCGACTTCTGAATCCGATCAGCTCCAGAAAGAGTTCTTCTTGAGGTCAGGCCCCACCCACGCACAACATTTCATGGCAAATCTGGTCTGAAGTTTTTAAGTAATCCTGCAAACAGAGAGGCAGGCAGAAAAAAAAACTGGCACTCAAATCATAACCTTGTCAAGAAGCACGAGGCAACACCTTCATGTGCAGCATGTGTGTGTGTGTTCCACCTCTGTGCCCCCATTCCACCACACATGACCCCCACAGGGACTTTCACTTTCCTTACTCATTGCCAAACTTCCTCCCAGCCCAAACACCCCCTTCACCCTGGACTCCCCTGGCCCCTCTCTTACTGTTTTCCCATGGTCCCTTAAGCTCTGCAAACCACCTCACTCCACACTCCACACTCACACACACTCTCTCTCTCACTCTCTTACATTGTCTCAGCTATCGACTGCTCTGTGTTCCACCATCTGTTGAGCACTCTCCCAGCTGTTGCCCACACTCTCACTGCTCGGCAAAATAACAGCCCTACAAGCCAGTGACACGCACACAAGGCAGAAATTACACAGCACCGCGTGTTCTAATTAGAGACAGGTTTGGTGTTCAGCCAGACTGTAGGTAGAGTCAGCTGTCAACCCATTAGCGCAGACGCATGCCAACGCACTGCCCTCCCACGGCACGTTTCATGGCAGGCGTACGCTGATGGACGTGCAGTTTACTTAATGAGTCAGTCTGTAAAAACAGGGTGAATAAATGCAGGTGAGAGTCTGTTGTATCCCATCTCAATTAATGAAATTTGACCCTAACCAATGACATAATAAACTTTTAGAATGACTTTTAGAATGTCAAACAATTTCCAAACAAAGAAAATGGCCTTTTGTTAACTTTAAGAAAAATTAAGCAAGACTCATAACCCATAGCATGTATTGTTTTGTTAGCTCCCTAAATTAGCAGGATAACTACAGTAGCAGCTAATTCGCATTTGTTAGACTAATTTTTTGAAAAGTTTACCAATGATTTCCATTGGCACTAAACTTATTAATGATTTACCTGAGGTAATTGCAGAATTGTTTAAATAATTATAGAAAAATGCTACCTATTGTAGCCAAACGTTTTTTTTTCAATTAAATGTTGCAACTCATTTTAACAACTGCAAAGACAAAATATTATTCTCTCTCTCATCATCCTGTCTGACTCCTGTTTCAGTCTGGCTCTGTGAGGCTTGATGTTTCCATGCACTCCTCATTTACAAGCTGTTACTGTATTATTAAATGTTGACCTGTTTGTCTCCTCCTGTCTGAGTTTGAACCCAGACCTTACAGTAAGAAACTTTGGAGATTAAATCACTGACGTCTGACGGCGAACGCATTCAAACAAAGCCACAGTGGCTGCTGCAGAAGTAAGTGGATCACGATTCCTTGATTTTCTTATTAAGTTAATTTGGTTCTGTTACAGGTCTAGAATGAACACGTGCGCTCGGTGCATTTTGTAATATTTGGTCATATGGAAGGACTTTGACCGTGACCACATGCTGCTCTAAACACAACCCAGTCTGGCCTTGGTCTGGCGCTTTGAAGATCTGAAGTCATTGTCTGAAAACATCGGCGCGTTGTCGGCCATCGTGAGTCTGGCCACATGTCCACACGTTTAATGGCCATTTATTTTCTCTAGATACGTTGAGAAACTGCAGGAGGTGCAGAACGTCTCGGGGTCTCAGGCCGTCGCAGACTCATCTGGATCTGCCCTGTTCCTCAAGAGATGCAAAAGGGGAGAGGTGATCTTTGGGCCCAGAATTCTGCTGTTCTGTGCACAATGGACTGATTAGTGCACATCTGGACATGTTGGGGGGAAAAAAAAGATCATCATGAAGAGATTGTTATAAATCTGTGTGCGTTCTTGGCTGGTGTAATTTTCTGCAATTATACAGTAAAAAGCTTAGTTTGACAGCTCCGCTGCGCAAGAGCTGGTTATTAATATATTTGTCAAGATTTTTTCATTTCAATATGACGCATTTTTGGATGTAAGTGTTTTCTAAATGTTGCCAGCAGCTGAAAATCAGTCTTTTCTTCAAACTGGTTACAGAGAGCTGGGATTTGGTGCAATTAAGATGATAATGTAATTAATTTGTGTTTTTGATATTGTTTCACACAAGAAAACAAAGCATCTGAAACAGTTTTTTATTAACTTGGAAGCAGGAGAAAACATCTGGTCAGGAGTGCAGAGAGAGAGAGAGAGAGGGAGAGAGAGAGAGAGAGATTATCCTTGTACATGTTTCCTCTGTAACAGTCTTTGATTGAAAGTTGAAGGGAAAAAAAGTTGCACACTTGAGCTGGAGTTTCCATGTCACTTTTGACCACCCTGATAATACTCCTAATTTGGGCATTTTACTGTTCAACCTTTTCTCTTTTTTTTCTAAAGCAGCTTCACCTGGGATTAGAGGCAGGAACTACTCTGTCTCCTCCAAGTCCCCTGAACTACAAACCATATGGACTGCCTCTTAGTCCAGGCTGAGGTGAGCGGATATCAGGGGGAGGATGTTGGGGTGTGCAGGGCAGGGCAGGGCAGGGGGCCCAGGGACCCACTATAGGCTCTGTTTGGTCCAGAAGTTAATGGTTTAACCGGAATGGGAAGTAGGGAANNNGCCCTGGGATGGTTTGTTTTGGAAAAATCAAAAGTGGCAGAGGAGGACGGTTTTCGGGAGGAACGAGGACGAGTGATTCCAGTAGTTGTTTGTATCGTTCTGAGTTATTTTCAGTGGCGCAGCAGCTGAGTTTTAATGACAAACATCTGTTTTTTGTTTTCTGTTGAAATGCCATTTCTCATCATTTTGGACCTGAGTCCCTGGAGCTATTTGAATGCTAACACGTGGAAGTTTGTAGTAATTGGTCACATTCAGTCGGCAGGTGGCACATGGAAAGGTAGAAACTCACAGAGGATTAAAGGAAGTCTTGTCCCTGTGTGGTGGAGGTCCACTGTGGTGTGGATGTTGTTAAAGAGTGTGTGGGGGTTGAAGCGGCCACTGGGTTAAAGGGATGCACTTGATTAACCAGAGGTGTGAATGTTGGTGTGAATGGTTGTTTGTCTCTGCTTGTGGGGCCGTGATGGACTGGTGAACTGTGCCCACGGAAACATTTAGAATGAAGTGGTAGAAAAATGGATGGATGGATAGTCCAGTGGACCTTTTCTTTTTTAATAGAGTTGAGCTCATACGATACCGAATAAAAATCAGATGGCCTATAATGTTACAAGAAAAAACAGCAAGCTAAAAATACAAAAGTTTATTTATGACGTCATGAATTATCCACAGGGTTTATGGTCCATTTCAGTTGTTTCAGGTCTTTTACCACAGAACACAATAACTTTGTAAATTCAATTCAAATCCCAAAATTCCTTCATTTTTCACAAATCTAAATAATGAACATCTGATACGAGTGATTCATAAAATGAATTATGAATGAGAATTCTTTTTGACCTGCTCATCAGACTGAATGGTGGATTTCCTTTTCCCACGGACCTCTGATTATACGGAATAACTTCAGAAACAGGCCACAAGGGGACAGAGCGGTGAGCACTCTTGCCTTACAACATAAAGATTCCTGATCTAATCCCCATGAACTTTTATATTTCTCCCAGTGTAGATGTGGTTTTATCAGACCCAGAGGTCAATTGTCAGATTGTTTGCACCATCTCCTTTCTTCACTCTAAAAAGTATTGAGTTCTGAAAGATGAATATATATATATATGTATGTACAGTATATGTATGGAAATTTAAACTGACTTCTAGGCTTCACCGATGAGAATCAATAATTTAATACGACGAGTGATTTAAAGTGTCACACATTTACACTGTGGAAAAAATAGAATGAAATGAACTCTCAGTATGATAAATGACCAAATAGTGGACGACTGGGACTGCCGTGGTGCCAGGAGAACAGCTGCATACAGCATGAGGCTACACCAGCTGATCTGTCTGTCCTTTTGGTGAAACTTATCAATTATACTAACTTTTTATTGTGTGTCTACGTCAGAACACGCTGTGGGAAACCGGAGGATTTGGAGAGATACAGTAGCCGCAGCAGAAAAAAAAAGATATTGAAGAACACCGAGCCACAACAACTGTGTGATGTCACGAGTCGGCGGTGAAATCCAACACCAGCAGCTGGAGTGGAGCTGAGTTGGAGTGCTGGTTAGGGTGAGTGCGGATCCCCTTGCATCAGTGCAAGTCAAGGCACATAGCAGAAACCACCGCCTGGAGGTAAAGACGCGCGGAGAGACTTGGGGAAGGAGAGGGGAGGGAGAGTGAGGCTGTGTGCTGAGACCACTCTGTGAAGACATCTCTCTGATTCTCTCTAAATCTCACACCACAGTCGCGTTTGACGCTCCTGCAGCCTGACCAGCAGCCGTGGAAAAGCTGTGCAACACTTGCGCGCCTCCAGTTTTTCTTGGATAGAAATCAGCGCTGATCAGTGCGCGCAGATGATCTGAGGCGCAGCAGGAGAGAAGAGAGAGAGAGAGAAGAGAGAAGAGAGAGAGAGAGTTCCTGGACGAGGCAGAGAGATCTCTCCTCTCTGGACTTGTAGTAACGATGAGGAAATTCTGACTTGGCACATCTCCTGCCGGGCACTTTTACGCGTCGTTTGGCTTCGACCAAAGGGTGAAGCCCATGAACAGGTATCCTCCTCTTCAGTGTGATTCTGTTTTCACCCAGATCTCTGCTGCCTGGACAAATGCATACAAATGCATTTAGGAGCTCAACGGACAAGGAGTGGACACGTTTCCGCGGCAGCAACGTAAGTATTAAAAAAATAAAAATAAATGCATGTCATGTCGAAAAGTGTCTCCAGGTCCTGGAACACGGCAGCTGCAGGACTTGTTTCTGCTCTGGCTCTTTGACGTCTTTCCCTGACAGGGGCGCCAGTTGACTAAACATAGTTCCTGCAGAATAGTTTCTGCAAGTTCTTGTCATCAGAACATTTGAAACCCAATGTTTCACTGTGTTTTCTAACATTACAGTAGAACAGTGCTGTTGGGGGTCTTATCTTCTGAGGAGATCTCTGCTGGTGAATTCCTTCAGGTCATGGCAAATGTAACCAGACTTG